ATTTTACTTTATTCTTGTTTTACTGACGAAAATTAATTGTTTGCTTGCAGGGCATCGTCTGAGGATCGAACGAGACGCGAACCACATTAGGATGGTTCGAGGGTGAAATCGCTAAGAGACGTTCGTCAGTATGCTGCGGATATTGATAGTGGTGACGTGCATCGAGATATCGACGCTCGCCAGTGCACAGTCGAAAGGGACCACCTCCTTCGACGACGATGCGAACAGCGATGAACCGGATCATCCAAGTAAGTACACATTCCCCGAAATAACAAGACAAAACTTGTTGCTTCCCATAAACTAGTGGTGAATATATCGTTATAAGCAAAATTTGCTTGAAACGATCAGCAAGTAACCTGCTGCTTGACTTGTCTGCACGTTGGTGCCGTGCAAACCAATTATTAAGGATACGTCTACTTAGTAGTTTGACCGAGTTTCAGGCTACTACACTCGAATGAGTGGCAGTAGATATTGATAAATACAGGTCTGCCAACCAGTCTACTTGCTAGCTCGAATATCGGCTTACAATCAACTACACTTGCAAATATGCGCTCGTTGAAAAAGAAAAACGGTCTAATATTCGAGTAGACGGCGCGAATTGATCGGATAAAATCGAGGGGCGGGGGGGGGGGGGGACTGATTGCAGAGAAACTTATTATCTCTGGTCCGCTGGAAAATTCGAACTTCCGATTCGTTTGATACAATATAGCGAGCATGATGCGTTTTCATACATATATATACATACGTAGGTGCGGCGGGAGGATCAATTTGTTAAAATAGCTGTGGAATCGTGCCTCGGCGCGAGGATGTTCTCTTTTGCCATTCGTGTTGTGTAGATCGAGCGGGGGGGGATGTGGAAACGTCCAAGCGACGGCGAAATGGCGAGAGCAAACCACTCGTGCAAATTGCCGTGTGCGCGCGCGTGCGAAACTTTTCCCCGAATTTATTCGCGTACCGTCTGCCCGGCGGAACGGATATCAAGATTAACGCCCGTAAGTCGGTTGAAAGGAAAGGAAGGCAAAAAGGGAGAGTGTGAAAGAACCGATCCGCACTAACTTCGACGACGAAGTTTCTTCGAAACATATCGAGATCGCAATTACCGGCCGTCGGGCCGGCCCGCAGCGAGAATCGACGGCGAAAGTTACGGAGATCGCGCAGCGCGACCCGGTCGCGCTTTAAATTTCTATGCTTCACTCTCTCACGGAGTTCTCCCGAGAAGTTTGATGATCGCACCGACACGCGAGTGACACCCCTCCACCGGGGAGAATAACTTTCCGTCCCTCTCGTTTTACGGCACGCATTCGCTTGAACGCGGCTATCAGTTTGCTTTAAATCGCATGAATTTTTATGATTTTTCTTTTTTTTCTTTTTTTTTATATCGAGCGATCTTTTATATTCTGCTTTGTTATCCGCTTTGGCTTGCATTTTTCGTTTTATGTTTTTGAGCGCGTTTTATTTGAATGGAAAGAGAATGCGATATGATTTGTATTTTGATTGTTTGCTTACTATTAATGCAAATGCCGATTTAAATGCACTTTTTCTATCGCGTGTCGAACAACTGTTCAACCGACTAAGTACTTTCAACCCGGACGGATCTTGGAGCCTCTTACTAGAGTTCATAAAATAATTAGCTAGGATGAAAGCGATACCGACGAATTATGGGGCCTCGCGTGTCGACCGGTCGTTGGAAGCTTACATGGGAAAAGCTCGGCGCACTTTATAAGTTTCCGCGCACGAGGCCAAACTAATTAGATATGTATGAATAGCCCGAGCGTCGGCAGGGGACATATAATTAATGCGGCCCGCCGGCTAAGTGAGAAATTAATTATAATATGGAAATTGAACCTGTCCCTTTTCTCTCTTCTTCTCTCTCGCTCTCTCTCTCCCTCTCTCTTACACATATACTTGCTTTCTTCCTCTATTTCTACTTGCTAAAACTTTAACCACACGGAGAGAGAGAGTTTCTGTCTTTTGGTGAACAGTAAAAGGTTTTTTTTGACGCAGATGCACGTGTGCAACGTGCGAATGCAACCGTGTTTCGCACAACAGCGCAGTGCTTTCTTCTCGAATATTTCGTCGGGAAGGAAACCTCCTTTATGCATGGTAAAACCATCAACTCCTTGGAACAAATTTATCACCGCGCGTGACCGTCCACATAAACCTCGCAATGGAAAAACTTCATGCAATCCTTTTTCCGGAATTAATTTTGCGCGTAGCTCTATTCCGCTTAATACATTACGATAATGCTATGCCGGGTCAAAATTCGCATATCAGGTAATTTATCAGATTAAATCGTATGGGAGTAAAATTTGAGGTATTTTTGCAGAAATAAAAATGGTATATAATGCGAAGCGTTAATCTGGAAGTGATATTTTGCTTGCGATATGATTAAAATAAGTTTAACTTAAATCTCATTGCAGTCTCTGCGTTCTTATTTATTTTTTCCATTATCTCGCAGATGCGAACTTAGTGAATGTGGCGAATTTTGTACAATCTTGGGAAAGTGTTTGTTCTGCTGCAAGCATTACGTGCTTTCTGTTTGTACAGCGTCGCGTTGTGTAGGTCAGTGACGATGAGCGGGTCGATTCGCATTCCTGCCCCATGTCGCACGTACGCTTTACACGATGGCTTCCTTCTCGAATATTTGTTGCCGAAGAGAAAATTCGCGTAATATACAACCAAGCTACATTTAAAAATGCATTTAAAACTGCATTTATGACGTTATAAATTTTTGCCTTATATTATATTAAGATTGCTGACAAGTCTTTGGTTGAAAAGTAAAAAGACAGAAATAAAAAAATTTATATTCTTACAGAAGAAATCTGCGAGGAAGTACAAAACTATATACAACTATCAAAATTTTTAAGATAAATGAGTATGAATAAATTTAAATTCTCTGTGACGCTTTCTTGATTGTATTAATTTATTTTTTTGGTGATTTATAGAAAGATTTTTTAAGTATAATAATATTCTTGATTACGATAATAATCACAGACCAATAATTTTGCAATTACTAAAATCTTCTACGAAAATAAACCTGCTTGTGTACTGCGATCGACAAAGCAAGGTGTCTACTACTAAAAAAATATGTAGTAATAATGATATCGAATAAATAAAAGTATCGAAATATTGTAATAAATTTAGACTCGCGCTGAGTCGGCGAAAAGAGGATTCCCCGACCGGAATCGGTTTAGTTCGTCGGTTAACTACAGGGTTAACGGTAACCTCGTTGCGCGACCGAGCCCACAGGAGCTACCCGCGCCAACAAGGGGCGAGTTTCGGGCGAAACAACTCCTCCAGGCTAGCTCGGCCGAAGTTACGGGTTAACGGTAATCTCGTTGACGAGACTCCGACGCACACACTCGGAGTCCGTCCGACGAGCTCGACGATTTTCGGGATCGAAACCGCAACGCTCGGGAGAGTGCCAGGCCCTTGGCTCGTTAAAAAGTTCGCGGACGGTAGCCCATCGCAGACGGAAGTTCGTTATCCTCTTCAGGACACTTCGCGGTGATTTCGTCGGTTCTTCAGTTTTTTAAAAGGATAGTTTGATTTCTAACACATTTTTGACTTCACACGAGCTTTTTGCTCGCAATTAAGAAACATGATTAAAAGTAATAACAAAGTAATAACAAAGTAACAAAGTAATAAAAGTAATAACAAAGTAATAATTTGAGGCTCGACAAAATAATACGAATATATAAAAAAATATTTTGTATATATTTTTTTCATACATTTTTAATATAAAAATATCTCATAAACTTGAAAATACAACAAGCGATAATTTACAAGATAAAATTCTGTTCAACAGTCTATTTTTAAAATAAAACAATAAAGAAGACTTTTTCTTTGTTTTGCTGTTAAGTTAGACTATTTGTGCTTACAACTTTAGTTTCTTTTTTGTTTTTAAACATGAAACCGAGGAGAAAATGGTTTGGCCGTAGAAACTAGTGAATTTTATGGCGCAACAACGCGAAAGCTCGAGATCTCATTTTCATAGTTTGACTCTCGAGTACGGAACTTATTCGATTAAGAGCTCCGGCGCTCGTAGTTACAAAAATGCGTCGCGTTGTTCGATTCGCAAATCGGGGTCACCGCCGCGGTCAACGGGCCCCTCTCCCTCGTTAACGAGTTCGCGAGTTTGCCAAAGTCCCGTCTTGGGTAGCCTCGACAACGAGTTGGGGATTCCGCTTAACTCGTTGCTTTGGTAAACTCGAGGACACTTTGTTAAGCTTAATCTCCTTTCACGGTTATTGGGTTTCGCTCTTTACGAACAAAAGGACGCGCAGGCTGTCGAAGGGGGACTTAAGTCCTTCGGGGCGGGATATGCTGACGGCCATATTGCGTCGAGCCTTGCGAAAAACTCATCCAGGATTTTATCAACTTGGCATACTTACCTCGCGAGAGTGGAAACCTCTTGCTGCAATATTTTCTTCGAGCGGGAATTGAGAGATTGATAGTGAAAAAAAAACGTGACGTTTTTGTAGAAAGCTGAGACGTGCATTTGCGCTTATTATCGGGCGAGCGAGTTTTCATGCAGACTCGTTTGAATAGACCTGCTAAAGATACAAAAGGAGATAAAACTGCTTTGTTTCCCTGTATAATTAATTGTTGATATTTTTTCCCGGACGGGACTGAATATAATGAATAATTGAATGAATCTTAAGAGAATACATCGTTTAAAAAAAAACGGATCTTTAAATATATTCTTTTCTACGAAAAAGCGCGCCTTCGAGAAGAGATTTTAATACTTTTTACGTCGTAAACTCTTAAAGCGCATTCTGAGAACACGGCATGCATAGCTATTATATTGCGACGGTCTGACAGCCGGTAGCACGGTCTTAACGATTATCATCGTTTTAATAAAATTTTGCTTCATCAGCATCTCATAAGAAGCGGTTAAGGAAGAAGTTTCTGCCATGGCAGTGACACAAAAGAGTTAACTTGATAAAGGGCACCTTTGTGAAGCCCAACAGATGATGCCAGTGCTTTGCCTAGGATTTAAAGCTTACGTTTTTTTACGGTTGAAATAATACTCTGACAAATAGCATTTTATAAATTATATTAATAAAAATCATTTTAAAAATGCAGAATACATAGAATACTAAAATATAGTAAATGTTTTTCTATTTGATTATTGACTATTTTTATTTGACATATTTGTTTTAATCATTCGGGTATTAATTTTATTTGGAGATTACTTTTTATTGCATTTGCACGCGCGTATGCGGTATCTAACAATCACACTTTT